AGAATGCAGCGATATACTGGGATATGCTCAGCCCCAACTTCATCCTTGGTTCCTTTGTTTTGAGCTATCTATGAATAAATTGCCAAGGAAGATCCATGCCTGAAATCAGCAGTTTCTTAGGTTTAACTCTTGCTCTGCTCTTTTGCCACATAATATCCAGTACTAATCAGGAACATACTTTAAATGAAATTGACCAGTTACGGGGTTACAAATTATGTATGCAGCATCATTATATAGTTTAGTCATTGGGCAGCATTGTGTTTAGTTGTATCTGTGAAGAGTTAGGAGTTTCTTGTGTCTGTTCTTAATAAAGAAGTTCTTGTCCAGTTTTCTGACAAGTATGTCCTGTAAGTTTTCCATGGTATACATCACCTTCACTCTTTGGGAGAATGAGGTTCTAGGAAATAAAATACTAAATATAAGAATAAGAATCTAAATATTCTTAGATAATAATATCAGTGATGATGCCAGATATCAGAGGAAGTTAAATCACAATTTTGCAGTCTGCACAGAGAGCTCAAACACCACTATACAGTTTTATCAAAGATTAATTTCCATATCAAAATCACAATAATAATTGGAATGTAGTAAATATTGATTCTTGGCTGGTTAATTTCAGCATACAAAAGCTGGAGGGGGGGAGTCTTGTAATTAACTTAAAAAAAAAACAGGAATATTAATCAAGACATGATCTATGTTTTAACAATGTTGAACATTACCTGCCTTGGCTGGTTGACTTTTGCTCCTGAAGACAGTAATAACCGAATTAAATCTAGGAACCCTCCTTGAGCAGCCAGGAAAAGGGCAGTAGCTCCATCCTATTAAAACATTTTTTGATTAGTGTACTAGCTAGTGAAAGAATTGTTAAAAGGACAACTGAACCCCTCCTTTTCTCCATTATCCCTCAAGCATAGTAAGAACGTTGCTTATAAAAAAACTCCTTTTCCACAATCACCAATAAGCTCCTGTCACTTAACCAGCTCTTTCTTCAGCTTTGATAAAAGCAAAAATGCACAGTTGCTTTTTAATTAGATTGCTTCCGGCCTTTCATGTAATCAATTTAAAGATTAAACTATAAATCTTGATGCTTTTTAAGTAAATCCTTCCAGAAAATCTGTATTTGAAGTCTAGCTCTTGTAGAAATCTGCCAATCAGAACCAGAAACTTTTTATGCAGTCAGCTGAACAACATCACACAACCAGATTCATTTTTTAGGGTAATTTTTGTATATTTCTTGCTCTGAAATGCATTCAGAACATTTAACTGTTATCAAGGACAGTTTGATTAAGCAAATACCTCAATCTCCCATACTTTTCATCAGCTTCTTTATGAAAGGTTTCAAAATGATCTAAGAGTTTTAGAGCAGCATTAAAACATACACACACAAGACAGGGTACATGTACATAATTCTCCTGCTGAAATCAGTGGCCAAGTTTGCAAGACACAGCAGTCAACCACCAACCCACGGTGTAGATTATTTGTTAAACAACCTACAGGTGGTCAATCATGCTCACCCACCTTTCCCTCCAGTCCTCTGACCAATAGCACAAGGTCCTTTGTGACAGCAAAACCCATCTTGTCTCCTCTCTACTCCAGTTATGACTTCATTTTAGTCCACCCCAATATCTCTGTGCCTCCAGCAGTGACAGCCACTCCACTGATGCCAAACTGACATTTTGGAGCAATCATCACTGCCTTGTTATCCTTTTTATTTATTAGCTTTTTCAGCAATACAATAGTGCCCACTAGTCTTTCAAAGGCACATACTTACAGCTGCCTCAAATATGGATTCTTCCCTGGTCAATGACCTGGCGAGTGTCTGCTGTCAAAGTGCACCAGGTAATATTCATGGGTATTGGCCAAGCAAGGATGCATACAGGTTATTTTGCATGCACCTGACATTTATCACTTGGCAAACTGTCAATTAGAAAGGAGAGCACAAAGGCAGTTTTACCAGGGAGGGGGATTGCAAGTATATCTCCTTCTTAGCAGTGTGATTCTTTGATTTCTAAGTATTGCCCCCCACCTTTGCCACTCCTCCATGAGCTTCTAGGTATTCTAGAAAGGGGAGAGCTACATCTCCTTGTGTTCTCAAGCACTCACTTCCGACAGCTGTCAAAAGAAAAGTTTCTTTTCTTTAAACCTATCTAGCAGATGTGAATGATTCTGCATATATTTACCCAGCCCTCAAATATGCTAGTTAGGTTTTTTGTAAGCTTGGGAAAGCCCTTTGTTTAATTCAGTGGAAAGCTTTCCATTCACTGCTGCTGAGCCTCTTTAAAAGTTTAATTGCTGCATGCACGTGAATTCTTTGAAGGGATGTCACAGAGCCCACAAATGTCCCACGTGGCCATCGTGACTGTTAAAAACACTCCATTGGTACCAATGGGGATTTCTTAAAAGCCTAATCGCTGCTGTGGGTGGGGTAATTGAGATGTGGGTCATGGCAAGCCCTTGAAGCAACCCTACTCCCCAAAATGTACCTGAATGACAATGAAGCTTAAAAATACATTTAAAACCCTAATGACTATAGGAGATGCTGCAGGCTGGATGGGGTACCCCTGTAAGCCAGTGGTTCACCACTACTGGTCTACATACACTGCAATCTTTGATAGTGATTTATTTCTCTGCTTGCTGTTTTTGTGTTTTTGGTCTATTTGGTGTGATTTTTACTCATCTCTTTATACATTGTCTTGGATGAGGAGCATATAAAATGTTTACACAAATACATATTATTATTGCTTCATTATAGTTATATGCTGCTTCCCACCCCGTCCTTGCTAGGAAGCCAAGGGGACTAACAGAGTCCTCTGCTTCCTCCATTTTATCCTCACAGTGAGGTACCATAGGAGGAAAGTCATTGACTGGCCCTAAGTCTTCTAGTAAACTCTGATTGAGTGCCAGTCCAGTACACTAGCCACAATTCCACACTGGCTCTTCCACAGAAGTTAGCCTTTAGGAAACCATTTAAATAAATACTGTTTTTTGAATGTATGCAGTATGCACATCACATAGGAAGCCAGTGAAAATGGGAAGAGAAGAAAGGCAATAGTACAATGCAGATAAGACAATGGCTTTTTGTTTTTAGCTGATGATGAACAATGGATAATAAGCTGAGAAGGGGAAGAGCAGCATAAGCACACCAGGAAAACATCCAGGATGATATTACATATAGTTAGTCTAATTCTTTCCACAGTGTCTGAGTGAAAGCCAGAGCTTCTAAAATCTGAGGCAGACTTTCCTATGAAGCTGTCAACAGTTGATAAGAGAATTGTATGTTCATTCCTGGATTTCTACCGCCTCTTATTTTGTACCTAGGCCTTAGCTGAATGATAAGGCAACAGAGGAACCTACCATTTTACCCAGACCTCAAGTGCTATCTGACCACCTGCTCACAGCAAGAAGTGCTCATTTTAATTTTAGCAAGCTTCCTCTGACCTTAGCAGGTGTACTTGTGTGACAGAGGTACTTTGAGTAGATGAAACTTTTCTGGACATTGTTGCATGATAAGAAAACTGCAGCTGCTATAGTTCTGCTTGTTATACAGGGATATTGATCAGCTAGCCTTGACTTGATTGTAAATAACATGGATAACCTAGTGGATAAAAGGGCAATTGTGGGAACCTTGGGGTAGGGATGTGTGAGGAGTCTGTTCTGGGGTGGGAATACATCATGTTCCTTGAACTCAACTCCCCGGACTCTAGTCTACTTTGCTGCAGCCGTGAGTCCAGGCTCCTGGTGAGCATGCCCAGTGTTTGTGCAGCCTCCACAGGGACTGAGCTCCATGCAAAGCCTGCAGAAGCGGGATCCCATCTCATGCAGCAGCCTTCGTCTGTGCTACACGTCACATAAGGGGAGTTTGCTGGCTCCATTCCATGAGTGTCCATGGACTATTTCTCAGCCCTTTTTGATTTCTGAAACAGGGCCAAGCAGGAGATGATGTCCACGAACATTAGAGGGACAGATTGCACAGAGCTCAATTGCAATTCTACACTGGGGAAAGTGACCATGTCATATGTGAATCCTTGACTGTAAAGCAAGCGAAAGCCAGGTGTAACTAAACACATATGCTGGATTTTAAGAAAGCCACTTTTAATAAATCCAGAACAATGCTAAGTAAGGTCTTATGGCAAGCAACTCAAATGAGAAAAGCCAAAGATGGGTTGGAATTCTATAAAAATGAAAGTTTAAGATTTCCAATTCAAAGATTAGAACTGTATTCAGCCCTACTGCCTTGGGGTGCTTCCTCACTAGCATTTTCTTTCCTGGTGTTTACAGCACTCAACTTTTCATTTTTCCTGAGAATCTAAATTACTTTAATCTCAAATGGTTGTGTTCCCATTATCCAGAGTTGATTTTTTTTTACATTTATCATCATTATTCTACTGTGAACCAACTAGCACTATTGTCTCAACATAGTGGGTAGAATAGCCAGGTACCTTTTTATAGACATGGCCAGTCACATGTAACCCCACTAATGTGGGAGTGGTGTATTGCCTGCCCCCTCATCCCTTACCTTCACCACCACCATTCCTCTCTCTGATGAAGCTGGCAAGGAAGTGATGGAGCCCTGTTGGTTTCAACACTACTTTAAAAAATGTATTACAGTAGTCTTCATTACAGATCAATGTAACATGCCCTTGTGTGTTTTGCTGACAGCTGTGCATCTCCCAAACCAGCAACAATAATAGGCAGGGAAAGGTCTGGACTCTACTTCCAAATAAGCCTTACTCTTCTGAGAAGAAGCGGAATTATTCAGATAACTGGAAATATTTTGTACCTGCACATTTTCTTCAGATGACAGGATCTGGCTTTTCTTGGCACACAAATTGGGTTATTTTGGCACAGAAATCAGATTGAGCAAGTGAATATGAGCAGGCAGGGAAAGCACAGGAAACACATTCAAACAATATATAATGCTATCTTTGTCTCATGGATTTGCATTCTATCATGCAACTTCACAGATGCCTTTAGTAACTTCCAGTCCAGCCTCAATCATATACCGTAGTTGCGACAATCATATACCGTAGTTGTGACATGCCAGCATATGAATGTGCAATCAAAAATCTAGATGTGCAACCAATGCACCATTCCCTAAAAAGTCCCATGACAACCAACACAGAATTCCCTATAAAAGCTATCATACTTTGGCTAGGGAAATAAAGACTAAGCAGAAACTAGAAGAGACTGGAAATGATATCGCTTATCCTTCAGAAAACAATGTGAAACTTACATGGAAAGGCAGATGTAATTAAAGGGCCTCATATAAGCTTGAGTCCATGCTGTATGTTATGCAGACAGAAGCAACAGATTTTTGGACTGTACCATTTTAGATGAACACTGTCCCCAATAAAAAGCTCCAAGCATGTGGGAAATTAGAATAGCCTAAAGGAGAAGGTTATGTGGAACCCAGATGCACTTGTTCTCCAAGTAAACAAGGAACACCTATTAAGATTACTCAAAAATAAGTCTTACTGAATTCAGTAGGGTTGCTTGGGTAAGCAGTACAGCATTACAGTCATTCCCCGCCACGCCCTACTTGAGGAGCATTCCAAAATACAGCAGGGTTCACATTTAACAAGGAGCTACCATGGGTGAACTCCACAGGGCTTCTCCTTGCACTGCTGGCTACCATTTTGAGTATTCAGGTGCACCATGACTTCTCATTACCTGTGAAAGGCTAGGTTGTTGGGTGGTTGACAAGCCATCTGCAACCCTAGAAGCACCAATGAGTTCTGGGTGGTTTGTCAGCTACCCTGACAAGCTATCCTCATTGAATTCAAATATAATTTAGCATCTGAAGGTCCTACAACCCACCATAGCTACTAAGCCATGGTGGGCTACAGTGAACATGCAGATCAGGTCTACCACTCCCACGTGCAATCTTAAGAGGTAGAGTTTAGAATGTCACTTTGTCATTCTGAACAACATATGAAATAGCTCTCAGTATAAGGGGAAGATGGTATCCTGGATAGCTACAAATATTTTAAAGGCCATGGCATAGATGATGGAACAAATTTATCTTCTGTTGATTCAGAAAGACATGCCCAAATGAATGGGTTCAAAGACAAGAAAGAAGTATTTAAGTAAACATTCGGAAGAACTTCCAGTTGGTATGATCTGTATGATGGTAGAACAGATAGGACCAGTCATAATATCAGGGTTGGGACAAATCCTAGTGGACTCTGATCCTCTAGCATTTGCAAACTTCCTCTTGTGCTCAGCTTTTGTCTTGCAAGGCCAACCAGGCCAAAAAGAAGTGCACGACTGCTCATAGAATGAGGGTTGCACAGCAAGCAACAATCTTCTGCATCAGGTGCACCAGGATAAACAGCTGCTGCGGGTGGCACGGAAGAGGGACGCTGCTTGTGCAGTGTATGAGGCTGGATTCCCAGTGAGCATCCTGCAAACAGCGGACATGCTTGCCAGCAACTCAGGACTGCTGCAAAGCAAACTGGAGTTCAGGGAGCCAAGCCCAGGGAATCCCCACACATCCCCATTTACAGAGTGGGAAAACTGCCTTAGGCAGGAGATTGGGCGTGCCATAAATGGGCAACAAATGTTTAGTTACTAAGGGCACAATCTCATGAACTGGGCTCTTGATGCTCATAATCCTTTGAACTCAGAGTCTTATAAACATCCTACACAAGTCAGGAAGAACAACAGAACTGAAATTCACCTGACCATCCTCCTACCCTGAATTTTTTGCCTGCCAGACTTTTTTTGCCTATTTAGTAAAAACACTTCTGGGGCAGGGGAGGGAGGCTGCAGAACCCACAGGATAGCTTGTGTCCTGGCCTCCCCAGTATCCTCCGTTTCCTGCTCACTGAAACCCCTTTCCCATCCTTGGAGAGGCATATAAGCTTGGCAGGGAGGGTGGCGGGGCAGAGCTACAATCTGCAGCCCTGAGGTTGGAGCACTGTCTCTGACCTCAGAGCTGGTAATCCAATTTATCCTATTACTCCTCAGATGCTGTCTAGGGATTGCAAGATCGCTCCCTTACTGTTGTACCCATTCTGCCTGGGACAGAAGTGATGGTGGGATCCTCTGCCTTTAGTGCCAAAAAAGAGTACTAAGCATGTTGACATGAGGGGCTGGATGTGTTGCTGCTGCTCCTCAGGTAGCAAATTATGGTGGACCCCAGGAACAGACTGCCTTGGAAAGTGGCGGACTCTTCCTTAGAAGTCTGTAAGCTGAGGCTTTAAAATTCCTTCCAACTCCATGATTCTACAGACCACCTTATGAACTTTTTAACTTACTCTTCTCCTGGTATGTAAATCTTTGCTTTCTTGTGGAAAGAAAAAAGAACCCTAGAAAATCCCCTTAACTTTTCCCTCTTTCCAGGAAAAGAGAGGATCAGAATCATAAATATAGAAACAAAAACAAAAACCTCACATAAAGCTGGTCTTGAATGTTGGCCCCATGCTTCAGTAAAGTTTCCACTACTTTCAGGTGTCCATGCTGACAGGCAGCTAATAGGGCAGTGCCTCCGTCCTGGAAAGAAAAGAAAAAGCATAAATAATGGGCACAAGTGAAGGAAAAAACCCTAAACCTCCAGAGAACAGCAAGTGCTGAACATTTCTTAGCACTTAGCTCAGCCCTGAAAATATAAACACACCAACACACCTCCATTTCCAATCCCGAGCAATATTCCCCATATGTGTATTTTTATATAGTTTTCAAGAGGGAGGCTGTTTTTCCTTCCTTCTCTAGCAAAATGCCAACCTTTTCAGTACTGGCAGAGTTTGTTTAAGGCCAGACCAGAAGGGGCTGTGACAGATCTGTCTCTTTAACAAAGAAATGCAGTAGGAGATGAAGTGGCAGGGCCCAAGGCAAAGAGCACAAGTGGCACACAGGTCAAAGGAGCTGGATGGTTCCACCACCTACTGCACACCTTCCCAAAACCCCCTTCCTCTGCCTTTGGTTTCTCTTTTAGGTGTTCTCACTACTAGCTCTGCTGCCTGTCCGAGGGAAAAGTGACACTGGGAGGCAGGCTGCAACAAGGTAAGCGGTGGGCAGAGGGAGATATCCCCTTGACCTTTGGACTGAGACCCACTTTATGCATGATTACAGCAGAATTGTCTTTTAAAAGGCGAGTCTGCCACCTTCATGACTATGTTAGTCCCTGTTTTAAAAGATGCATGTCGCAGAACACGGTAGCCCTGAGAATATCACGGTTATCCTGATTTCACGGTTATCCTGGTTATCCACCAGATTCATTCAAATTGCTACTTAACTTCCATAGTGTACCCAAATTGTCTCTCTGGTAACCTTGCAAAGCAAATTTCCTCACTGTCTCCTCTTTGCTTTTTCAAAGTTGTCACCATATGACAAGTACTTATCTATATATTTTTTTTCCTTTTAAAGCAAGCTACATTCAACTTTTGCATGAAGTTTTAATATGTTTTCATATGATGTATCTTTTATTGTTATTTTAATGTGCTTTGTGAACTGTCCAGAGAGCTTCAACTATTGGGCAGTACAGCAAATAAGTAAATAAATAACCAAATAGTATATAAAGAAATATAAACAATGCCCTGGCCATTTAAACAATGAATCTGTTTTTGAGCTGAACCACACTGGTGGCAACCACTGCATCCTGTAGGTCAGTTGTGTGCTATTTTAACATATATTTTTCTTAGCTTCAGAACTGTTATCTGTCTATTTTATCAAATGCTCCCTAGTTAGATCATCATTGTGAAAAATGGTGAGCAAATTTTCATACTGACTTCTACAAATTGTTGAGTATTTTATAAATCAAGACAAGCGTATTTGACCCTGCTGTACTGATAGGTTTGTTCATTCATTCTTTCATTTTCATCTGCATTAAAACTACCTGAATTGTGTCATTTGTTAGAAGCACAATACAGGGACCCACAGAGAATAATGCCTTTCCAGAGTCTGTTTCTAACATATTTTCCTAAATGGAGAGCCAGTGTGCTGTAGTGGTTAGGAGCACGGGACTGGGACTCAGGCGATCTGGGCTCTAGTCCCTGCTCAGCCATACAGTCAACTGGGTGACTCTGGGCCAGTCACAGACTCTCAGCTGGGCCTACTTCTCAGGGTTGTTGTTGTGGGGATCAGATTGAGAGTAGCAGGAAGAGAATGAGGTAATCACTTTGACTCCACAAGAAAAAAGCAGTATATCAATCTAATAAATAAATAAATGCAGGTATTGTTTTTCTGGGTGGAAAGGCAGTGTACCTGTATTGTCACAAATCTACATGAGAATCAGGCCCTACTTGTCACTACCCAACTTCTAGCTCAGCAGCTCTGTGCATAGTTAATGATTGGAAATAGATAAAACCCAAAAGTAACTAAATTAGCAGAGGAACTCTGAGGAGCAGACATTTTCCCACTTATCCTCATAAAAATGTAATGCAACAAGCATTCTCTTCATACAGAAGGCATTTCACATTGTTCGTGTTTGTTGTATTTGTGCTGTGCTAGGGCTATTAGTCTCCATGTCATGTTAATTTTGGAGCAAGGCTGCCTACATCTGTAGGGCATTAGAAGCTGAGGCAGCATTGCCGTTGTTGGCAAACACCCTGGAAATTCTGAGAAGGGAGCCTAGGACAAGCACAACAGCACATCACCAGATCCAAACAGAGATTTGCATAATCACAGTGCAATTACCAAGACATAGCTGTGCTGTGACGAAGAACAACGTGAGGCCTTTTCAAAGGCAAAGATTGTGCTGTGGGTGGTGTATATAGTGGGAAAGGTATAGTAAAAAGTCAGCAGATAGTAATTAGCTCCTCCAAGTCATCAGCCATGGATGTCAGTGCTTGCAGCATGCTTTTCCCAAACTAACCTAGAGTACCATGTGCATATATGCTAACATGATCTGCTGCTGACACTGGCTGAGGACACCTTTCCATATTATATAATGCACCAGAAAAACAAAACAAAACATGTGATTCTCATCCTCCCACTTTTTGAGCCTGCAGGCAAACATACACAGGGGAATTCCTGTATGTCCTCTGTGCAGAGCTAGACCAATTCCCTATTTATACATTGCTCCTAATGAGAGGGGGAAAGTCAGTGAGTCATTCACTTTTTGCCTGTTTTCTGTAAAATGCAAAACCACCCTAATGATTGTTGCAATAGGGCCAGAGAAGAATTAAGTAGGGAATTAACAGGAAAAGAACTAGTGAGTGCTCCTATACAGGGTGAAGGTAAGGGTGGGGATAGAGGGGTTGCCTTCCTTAATGAGATGAAGTATGGTAGAAACAACAGAGTAACAAAGGAGCACAAGTTTCCTTTGATTCTGCTGTTCAGGTCAACCATTTTATTTGTTTGCTACTACTTTAACTTATTTATCTCCTACTTTCTACCTGATATTAAGTATCTGATACCATTTTAGGCCATAACATTTTCAATCAGTTTGTTGTGGAAGTTTTTATATCTACATATTGTTTTTAAGGTTGCAATCCTATGTATGTTTGGACAGAAAAATGTCCTACAGCTCCCCACATTTCCAAAAGTCCCATTCATTTCAATTGGTTTACTCTACAAAGGACTAATATTGGATAAATGCACAGTTTTGCAAGCCAGTCTAGAATACTATCATAATCTCTAAGACTTGCACAATCCACAGAATATATCCTATAAATTAGAGCCCAGAACTTGTGCTTCAGTTCTGTGGCAAAGTTCTTTGTTGGCATGAAGATCACTTCAGCTATCTGTGTATTTCTGTCCTGCATTTCCTTTACTTCATTGAAAAATTCTAGTGGGAAACAGATGGCCACACCGCAAAATATGAGAGCCCTGCAGAGCCTGCATTCAATGAAGACATCTCCCGTTGAATGCACTAACAGGGCTCAGGTTAGAAAAACATTTACTGCAGGGGCAGATAACACCCTGCTGTCTCTGAATTCAGTTGGAAAATGAAAAAGGAACTATAGCAGCTACAGAGTGCCAAAGGAGTCAAATTTAGCTTGCAAAATTTAGCTTTGTATGAAGTGTGTCTTCACACTAGTATAAAAGACTGAAAATCCAGGGATATACTTCTGGCATCAAACAGTTGTGCAGGTGGCATTTAATGCAGAGAAGAAAGGTTTAGTTCCTTCACAATTCAGGCCACGATCATCTGAGAAGAATAAAGCATATGCTGACAAGCATAAAGCGTAGCCTTTATGTTCAGCAGTGAATCTCATCATGTTAGATGTGAAATGACAGCCTGAGTGCCTACAGCAGTGACTCCACACATTTACAACCTGACACCTAAGCAAAGGGTGTTTTTGGTTTGGTTTGATTTTTACATTTTAGAGATTGCTTCTTGCTTTCACACATCCAGGCTGCATAAAATCAATCTGGTCAGCTTGGGCTATGCCCTTTCAAAATGAAACAGTACAAGCAACCAGGAAATAGAGCAGTACACGTACAATGAACATTGAGCAATAAAAGCCAGAGCTGAATTAATGTCCTGCCAGAGAACTGCATGGCAAGAAGCACAATTATTCCATGGGCCTCTTGCTTGCTCTTCATGCCAAGTCTCAGATCAGATGAAAACAGCAGCCCTTCCTTCCTGCCTAAATTCACCATTATGTTAAAGCCAAGCAAAATCTCTTACTTTGGTTTTAAACTCTGTGGAGGCTCCGTACTCAAAGAGAAACTTCACAATATCATTGTGGCCTTGCTGTGCAGCAAAAAACAGGGCAGTGGCACCAGACTGAAAATGAGAAACAGAAAGCCCACATGTTGCATTTGGCATATAGATACATTTCATTTGCTTTTCCAGAAGGTGGATACTGTCCAAGATGTTAGTGAACTTAAACTCTCATCCCTACCAACAGTAAAATCATCCTCATCATCTGTACATGATTCTACTTTTGAAGATTCTGGGTTATCACTTTTTCTGAGAAGGTTTCTGTACCTTTCAGCAGGAGAACCATTCAACAAATGCCAGAAGACACTTAGCTTTACCTATCCTATTGTGGAAACCAGCTGTGGTAGAGTAATGGACTGGATGTTGGCCAACAATCTGAAGCTCAATCCAGACAGACAGAAGTACTGTTAGCAGGTGGTTCACCTGCACAGCTGAGTGGAGTTCAACCTGTTCTGGAGTGAGTTGTGTTCCTCCAGCTGCACTGCTTGGGAAAGTTTCTGGATCCATCACTGTTATTTGGGATACAGGTATTGGCAGTGGCTAGACACACCTTTTATCAACTGAAGTTACTATACAAGCTGTAAACTTTTCTGGGCAGACATGGCTTAGCAACAGTTATTCATACTACAGCATCCTCTTGGTAGGATTGCTACCGTGAGTTGTACATGGGGCTACCTTTAAAGAGGGAAGCACAGTCTCTGCTTGGTAGAACAAGACCTAGGAGGTGAAACTTATGACATGGACCCTATATGCCCCTTTTCATCAGCTTTTATTACACACCTTCTGCCAGTGTTGCAGGAAATTGGTGAAATGTTCTTAATTCCTGCTGAAAAGAACTTGAAGTGCTATCTCCATGGACAAACACAGAAAACCCTTTACCAAGGAACAAACTAAACATTCTTCAGATTGGCTTGCTTACTTCAGAATAAGATTCTGTCCCCATTTTCTTACTTAAATTCCATCCCATGGAGGTAAACCTGGCTGGGGGGGAATCTCAATTTTTATTCTTTAACATCCCTCTTGAAAGGGGGGGGAATGGGATTTTGGGATGAAAATGGGAAGGAGAGATAGCTTAAATCTGTCCACTCCAGAGTGCCATAGTTCTGATCCAAAGCTAGACAGACTTACACTAAAGTAAACAAGCCAGTTATGTATAGCTCTGCTGTGTATGATTTGAAGAACTTTTAGTTTGGTCCCAAGTGGCTAATTTCAAAAGTATGCATGTAACTCCCATGGAAAGCCAGTCATCAGTACTAGGCAGAACACGTTAAAATATGTCTGCAGAGACCTGCTGCTATGCCTTGATGATTTCACAGTTTTACTTTAGAAAGTCTTAGACATAAAGAGAGTCTTAGATGCTAGTCTAGTCTTATTTCTCCCAGGTCTCTCTATCAAGATATATACATACATGAGCAGAATAGCAATTATGCACATACATTAATTAAAATGCTCTGTCAGATAAATCCCCCTGGAGAATGGAGACAGCACATAGGTTCCTCCATGCATTGCTCTGACTCTCACCCCCTATCACAGAATAGCAATAACAAGGGAACTGTGGCTATACCTGTCCTGCATCCTCTCCCCAAGTGGACAAGACCTGGAGCAGGAGAAGCTGGTTCCAAGCAGATGCCCCAAAAGCTTGTCCCAACATGCCAACCAAGGGGAGAAATGGCTGGAATGCCAATCCCTAGTCACAACATCAGAATAAGGATGCTCCCAATGCAACTGCTGGGAACCAAATGACATTTGACTGGCCCAGTCCCTTTGGATACCAGAGGGCATTGATGCTCCCTGACTTCATATGGCTGGCACAGAGGTAGGGGCCCTCCTGCCTCCCCACTGGATTATTGTCTTCTGCCCTTGTTATAATCTCTCTGCAACAAGCACTTAAGGGCTTTGATGAAACAAGATGATTAAAAGAGGTATATTAGAAAAGAATGCTCATGAAAGAATACTTATTTCCAGCCAAATGAGATTAAGTCTGAATGTGACTACATTGGCTGCAGCTTCATTTCAAGCAGCCTCTCCTGATTCTAGAGAAGCTGGACAAGAGAGTCAAACAGCACTATAGCAATGTACTGATATCTGAGTTGCAAGCAGCCAAGGAAATTCAGAATCTCAGGACCAACTCTCTGTGGCATTCTGTGTTGTGTCATCAGTCAAAGATACTGTGACATCCTAACAAGACTATGACATTCCTAGGGCCCTCTGTCAGTCAAAACTCAACCTTGCCAGCCCCTTTGCAGTAATTGGGAGCCAGTGTGCTATAGCGGACCTGGTTTTTAGCTCCACACAGTTCTGAAATTAACTGAGTGACTTGGAGCCAGTCACTGACACTCACAGGGTTGCTGCCAGGATGAAATGGAGAGGAGAATCGTGTTCACTGCCTTGGACTCTTTGGAGGAAAGGCAGGATGTCACTGTAACCAAAAGAAAAAATTCCTCCTAAGGAGGGGCGGTTCACTCCATCTCTGGCAAGCAAAAACCACTACACTGAAGAAGGCCTTTGGTCTGTGAATGAGTCTACTGGTTTGAACATCATATTTATTCTGCAATTGTTATGTTTCATTGTATTTTAATTATATTTATAATTACATTATATAATAATACTTAATTATAAACAATTATAATTTTTGTTTGGATTGATATTAATTTGTTCTTGTTAGCCATCCTGAGCATCATGCTTTGTTATAGACGGTATCCAGTGGTGTCCCTCCATTTATGGGAGGTTCTTTCATTCACTGGAGGTTTCCATTGGCAGACTTGACTCCCCTCCCCTCGCCAAGCCTCCCATGCACTACCCCTCAGGCTACTCCAAAGAACCTTCCAATGCTCTGGAGCAGATGAAATTGGAAGATATTATTTCCATTTCCATTCTTCTGACAAAAGCCTCCACTGGATCAAATAACTTTTAAATGGAGAGACACCACTGGATACAATGAAAAGTCCCTAACATAACAACCACTACAACATCTGTAATAAAATTTTAGGACTTGAAGTGCTGACCTGTATTTTAGACACTATATATTTAGTGCCTCTTCTACATTCTCTCTTTAAATGCAGCATATTACTTTACCTCTCGCTGAAGATTAATATCAGCTCCTTGAAGCACTAATTCTCGCACGCATTCCTTGTGGCCATAGAACGACGCTACCATAAGTGCTGTTGAACCAAGCTGAGCACAAATAAAGAAATAGAAATTGGTACCTTAAATAGACAAGAACAAGCCATCCTAATCTAAATTTCCCTATATAATTTCTCCGAAACATACAGCCTCAGTGGAGAAAGAATACTTTTGTCTGTGTGCAAAATTCATCACTGTCACTACTAACTGCTGAACTAACTAAACTGCCCTCCATGAAGCAATTAGGGGCTGTTCTTTTTTTTTAAATAGCCCTTTACTCCACAGCAGTGGTCCCTTCTCCCAAGTTCCCCTATGAATCAATTAGGCTGTTAAAAGGTTTTCCTTTGCACAATGAAACTGTTTTGAAAGAAGAATTGTTCTGGGAGTGGGGGAGAGAAAGTAAGTTATAGGTCAGATGAAAAGGCTCTGTTGGCTGCATGGTCCACAGAGCAGAGGTGTCCTGCGTCTGGTAGAGATGCTTCCTATTTTTATGTGTACTTAAGGCAAAATCCTACAGTGATTATCATTGGTCCCGAAACATTGAGGCTTACTGCCATCCATTGTACATCAAGAGAAACAGTGGAGGTGGTCCACATTACTCCATTCTCCTGCCCTGCATTTTCTGCTAGACTAGCTTTTTGCTTAACAGAGAACAAAGCTGGGAGGGCCCCCAGGATATGCACTATCCTGGTATCTTCAGTACCCCTGCCCCAAAATTGCTCATTTTTCCCACTCTGCAAGGTCACATTTCTGATCTCAGAGAGGCAGCCAGAGTGGTTCTTTTGGCACTGGCTGTAAGGGGAAAGCATCTTTGCCTTTGGACCTGGGAATCTCAAATATCCTATAGGCCCTCAGATGCTGTCCAAGGGCAATAGATTCATTTTCTACATGTGCTTATATGTCCAGACTCATTTGCCACCAGTATCTTTATAGCAGCATGTGAATTTACAAATTTCCATCAGAAAATCATTGGCAGATAAGCTTCATTTACCCCCTTCCATATATGGACAAAATAAGAGACATGTGGTCAATCAGGGTTGCCAGTGCAGAGTAAAAAAAAAAGGAAACCAGGCATAATTAACTTAATTAACATGGTCCCATCCCCCCACCCTGCCTCAGTGTGTGAGACCACATCGCCAGCCAGCACGGGCATTTTCCTTCTCCTTCCACAACCAATTATGGAAACAGATGAAATGTTCTTGCCACTCACAAACGGGGTCCTTACACTGTCTTTGCAGTCCACATCAACACGCCCGCTGTTCAACAAGAGCTGAAGTAGCGCCAAGTTTCCTTTCCTTGCAGCCCAGAATGCAGCATTTGCAAGCGGTGTCTCCTTCTGTGAACAAAAACAAAACACAACAAAAGGTACTCAAATCTGTTCCAGGACAATTGAATATGGGACACTACTCATGTGTTTGATAGGGGCACATGTGACAGGAGTCTTTTGCTTTTAGCAGCTTTTTTTGGCAGTAAATGTTCTTGAACTTGTTTTTTTTAAGTGGAATAAAAACACAGCTGTTCCTAGGGAAAATTATCCTCCACCCACATGCCACTAGATTAACGAAGAACAGCAAATTACACTATCTATAGTGCACTGGGTCTGTGCTAATGCAGTTACACTGCCAACAGAAAATTGTACATGATTTTATTCTCGAGAGCAAGATACCTGAGATCATCAGCTAAGAAACCATCTGATCTGGTGGAAGCCCCGCTACGCTTGAAGAACACAAGATGTACAACCACGCCAGTGGAAGGGCTAAAGTGGAACACAGCCATGGGAAGGATGTGAGAACCACAGCAGATGAGCACATTAATAACAGGGATGGGCAGAAGGCAGATCTCCAGGTGGCATAGACATCAACTCCTGGAGGCAACTGCCAGCATGCACAGTGGACAGGAATTCTTGGGGCTGAAGTCCAGAATACCTGAAGGCCTACTTTCTGTCCTTCCCTAATTTACACCACATTCTATAAAGACCATGGACACATCCCCACTAACTCAACTTTTCTTCAGCCCTGTGGTACAAATAATCTCCTTCCCAATTACTTAAAAAGCTATGCCTCTCTCAAAACTGCCCTCTCAATATCTCCCTGCATGGGATTTATATAGTGGTAACAGCATGTTGTGAATGACCGTTGAGTTATACCTTATTCTCAATCCACAGAGAAGCTACTCTAGGAGTGTGCATATGTCTGCAATGAACATTTCCTGAAATGTCATTTTAAGAATTACCATGTATTACCATGTATGTTTATGACTATGCTCCAAAAGCTTTGAGGTTTTTTATTATGTAGCACAGTATTTTCTTTTAATGAACTTGCTTTGATTTACCACAGTGACACAAAAACAATAACATTGTTTGATAAGGGCATCAAAATGTTCCAAGCTGGACAGAACTTTGGATTTAATGTTGAACTAGAAAAGTGGCAAAAACTATGGGAAAGAAACATTGAAGTAACTTTAGCAACTTTGTATAAAGAAAGTTATATAAAATGTTCTATAGATGGTATTTGTCACCAAGTCAACTAGCTAAGATGTTTCCAAATATGTCAAATAGATGCTGGAAATGTAAACATAAAGTGGGTACTTTTTATCATATGTGGTGGACTTGTGACAACCCAAAAAAGTACTGGATTAAAATACATAGATGGATGGAGGAAATATTACAAAAACTCTTTGCTTTTAAACCTGAAGTTTTCTTGTTAGGCATTATATCAGAAGATGTTAGCAGACAGGAAATCTATGTGATGATGCATCTAATTACAGCGGCGAGGATTGCATTTGCTCAATATTGGAAAAGTGAGGAGCTGCCCACCGATGGATTGATTGTAAGAAAGATCTCCAACTGTGCAGAAATGGATAGACTGACTATCGTTGAAGGAGAAAGAGGATACTGATTTCTATCGAACTTGGGACTCTTTTTATAATTGGCTGGAGAAATGGGACTTGGCGTAAATTTAGAGATGTTTTTCAAACTATGATAAATTAATTGGAATTTGATATTAGAATGTTAAAAAATATGTAGTAGGAGGTTGACCCAGTGAATCCAATGTTTGTGATTTTTTTTAGTGTTAGTTTAAACATTTTAATAAAAATATATATATATATTAAAAAAAATGTTCCAAGCTGGATTCAGTGACATTGCAAAAACAGGAGGAGGGACTGATGACCTGTTTAATCTCTGCTTTATTCTTTACAAAGGATACTTATTTGAATAAGAACGGCCATAGAACTATGCCGAGAGAGAATAAGATTACAATAGACATTGTCTCCAGCCAGCCTGATGAATGGCTGTGTTGACCATGCCAACTGGGGAAGTCTACCCTGCAGAATTATGCAGGAAAGAATGCTTCCTCTGAAGAGTGGGCAGGATGTAACACATACAGAAATAATCTCAAATGAAGAATGTAGGGATTTCTACTTTTTTATGCATTGGCTAATGTATGCAGATTTGACTGACTGATTAATCCACCAAATGTCATATGTTTAAGGCACAACCCTATGCATGTTTAGACAAGGAAACAAGTTCAACAACTCCCAGCACTCCCCAGCTTGTACCTCTAGTTCACTAAGTTCCTTCTAACAGGGTGACAGCTTATCAGAAGGCAAAATAACAGCCAGCAGAGCACGAATGAATCTGTCTGTAGAATCAGTTTTTAGGAAGGCAGTGCAGAGTTCTTGCCACCCATTTCCTGAGCACCATCCAATGAACTCGTTCCTGTGGAAACAGTCTTTTCCCTGGATACAAAAAGTGCTGTGTCACTACAAAGATCATTATAGGATTTTTCCTCCCCTAGCCTGAACCACTTGGAATGTTCTTCGAAGCAGAAATGACACATCCAGGTTGTATCCCCCCCCCCCGCACTCCATCAATCAGAACAATCACCCCGCAGCAGAACTGCCTCCTCTCCTTTTATTGCAAGCTGTGAATTGAGCAGTGCTACTTGACTACTTTCCTGTCATTGCAAGTGGCTTTAGGAGCCAGCTGCACACACACAAGGGTGGGGGGAAGGGGAAGGGCACACGCCTCTGGCTATCCTGGCCCTGCCCACCATCACCTTCACCTACCTGTGCAGCTTTCAAAGGGTTACCCAGCCCATAATATGGTCCTCTGCCCCACCCCAAGAAAGGCTGCCTTCCTCTTTCTTAAATAAACTGAATCTTACTCAAGGTGCATTAATTGTCCTAATCCTACCTACCTGCACTTTGTAATCTGGTACTGGCACACACAGTTCACACAATGAGCAGGGTAGCTTATCCTGGGCTTAGAGTTACCCCCCCCCCTCCCCGGCCCCAGATTTGACATGAGATACCTCCTCTCAGCATCCCAGAGCATCCCATAAGGACATCAAGGAGAGTGGAATAAGGATGGCAGCTGCTCCGAAGTGGCACATGGGGGCAATTGTCAGGGGCTCCTCACTGCTGATCCCGGCAGAGAGGTTGCTCAGCCCCCCTCCGCCAAGAGAGGCAACGGCCTGGATAAGCCACATTCTCCTGGCCTCCCTCTAGGGAGGGCCAGGAGAATGTGCCTCCTCCCTGCTGCTTTGATCGGTTTTCCTGGCAGCTACCCCAACCAACACACTGATTGCCCTGTGCACATTCTCTGGGCCCTCCCAGAGGAGGGTCAGGACAAAAAAGTTCTCTCTGCTGCAGCTCTTCCATGGCAGCTGCTGCAATCAACAGAAGGGAGAGAAGCAGTGCCTGCTGCAGGCCACTGCATGCCCCCCCCCCCAAGCCTCCAGTAGGGCTTGGGCCCCATGTGCCACTTCCTCAAGCCCCATGTGGCAGGCTGCAGGAGCAGGGAAGCCCAGGACAACTGTCCTAGGTGCAGCAGCTTTCACTAGCACTTGCCAGGAGCAACCTGGCCAGGCAGGCATGAGGATTATGCCGCACTGGGCAAGTGGCTAGCTTGTTGCAAGGCTTGTCCTCGGCCACCATAGGTCATCTGGCTTCAGATGGCAGGACAGCCTGCAGAGCATTAAGCAAACCCTACTGAATAACAAAGCCATGGATCACAAGCCAAATGTAATCTACCTTGACAACACGGTTCCTACAACTTGCTAAGCTTCAAACCACCCCCCACCCCGCTTAGTGTGTCCTGCAAATTCAGTCTCCATTATATTATCATCAACATTTCCTGACCATTTCCAGTATTACAAGAGCTTGGAAGTTATTTTTCCTGACATTCAGACTTGTACAAATTCCCCTTTTGCTATAAAACACTTTCTTACTTTTGTACATTACAATGGATGATGATGATTGCATTTTCACTGTCGTCATTCCCGTGTATCCCGTGTATTGTGCATACTATTGTGAACACACCTAGTTTCTCACAGAGGGAGGAATTCACAACATTAGTGGGCTTCTCTCCATGAGGAATTCATTGCACAGCTTTACTGAGGCTACTGTTTCTATTTTCCATCTGGGAAGGAAAGCATGTATTTTTTATGTGTTCTTTCCCCCTAGAGTTTTAATTTTCTGACTTTGTATATGTTTTACTAAACAATTTCGAAGTGGCACTGTGGTATAGTGCAATTGCAAAAATACACAGCCATTTTCCAGTGTTACCCAATGCCAAACGAGTTAAAAACTCTGCAAAAAGTTGTCTGAAAATGGCTGGAAAACATGGGATTGGTCCTGGAGCAAGAAACCTTCCTAAAAAGGTTTCCATGAGTGAGAGACCACAAGTACACCATTGGTTCCTCATGTGGCACACCCCTCTGTATTTCTGCATTTTAATTCCAACATGATGGTTAGAATGCCAGTGCAGTGCAGTGACGACAAAGCTGGGCTGAGACTCAGGAGATTCAGATACTAGTCCACAGTCAGCCATGCAGGTCTCTAGATAATTTTGGGTCAGTCTCTGATTCTTAGCCTAAACTACCTCACAGGGTTGTTGTGAACATAAAATAGAAAAGAAGACATTATGTAAACTGTCCTGGGGTTCTTGCAGGAAAGTGGGGGCTTATACATATATTTCCATCCAACAACACAGTTTGCAATCCAACCCAACACTGGCATAGAGGGATGCAGTCCTTTGAATGTCTAGGCAGAAGAGTCCCATAACTGCCAGCATGCCCCAGTCAGAGTGGGATTTTGGCCTAAATCTTGTCAATTTCAAGTTAATTAACACTTCATACATTTGATAAAGAGGACAGTATCCATAAATACTTAGGCCAACATAAATTTGTCTTTAAGATGCCCCAAGACTCTTCACTGTCTCTGATGCAGCATTAGGTTTACTTTGGATAGGAGGCTGAGAGTATGTTTATGATCTGTTTGTTTACAAAACTACAAGCAGAATTTATTTGAACCAGGCAATAAACAAAGGCAGGGAGTACAACTGTAAACCCTGCACTGGATTCCCAAAAAGCGCAGCTGCAGTTCAAAACAATTCACCTTCGCTCAATCTACAGCTCTTGTACTCTCTCAACTGCTGAATCAGATGATCTGACAGTCCATCAAGGGTTACTTTACCTTAGAGGAGCTGCAGCACTTGCTGACCACCATTATAAATATGCTACCCATTTGAAGGCTTTCAAAAGCTGTTGCATCATGCTAACCCAGGTGGGTCATGATGTCTTCATAACCCTAGCATAACTCATGCTCAAAGGTTGTATAACCCTCATATAACTCATTTCAGCTAAATTTCTTGGAGCTTGTTTTCTGATATATTACAGTCCTCTTCTTTATATATTTGAGCAGGTGATAAACTCAGACATAATAAAGGGAGACCTCCTGAAATCCTTGTTACAGACAAGGATTTGCACATATAACTGACTATTCCGAGGTGTGGCTACTCAGCTTCAATAAGCCTTACTCCCAAGCAACGGTATACAGGATTACAGACTCCAATATGATAATACAACTCAGCAGGAGCGTGCACAGTGCACCAAGCCAGAATGCTGCAGTCTGGTTTAGAAGCCGCCCTACCTGGGATGCACCCACCAGACAAGAAGGCTCCTTGTGGGTTGGGTGCACATGCCTCCGCTCTCGCCCCTCAGTCCTCCCACAGCCATTCCGTGGAACACTGTGAAAGCAGCAAGGCTCCCCATTCCCTGTCGCCACTTATCAGTAGGGTGGGTGGGGGAGCAAGGATTCCAGCCCAAGTCATGAGCAGACCTCATGAGCCATGGGAAGAGCTAGCAGCACCTCAAGTCACCTTCGCCGAGCTCAGAGGCAGCATCTTGCCACATGCTTTCTTTCCTGTGGGCATCAGCATGGGACAGGGAGAGATGGCCCAAGTGGGGTACTGTACGTGGCTCTTCCAGAGCCACCAGCTGAAAGGACTGACAGCCCTAGTGCACGCAGGGGCAGCCGCAATCAGCCCAGTTCCCCTGACTCCTAAGTCTGCTTAGCCAGTACCTCCACCCCCACCGCTCTGCCCCAAGCAAAGCACAGTCACACTCAGGTGTTGCTTGGCGGTGGCTGTCAGCAGCATTTTCCTGGCAGCCATTTAGCTTGAGCTACTAGGATTTCTTGCTGCTTTCCCCAAGAAACTCCATAGCAATTTAGGTTACCCCTGGGCTTGTCTGTCAGTCAGGTTCAGACAGCGAGCCCAGAGATGGGCTGATAGAAGCCCCAGCATCTGGATGGCACTAGGTTGGGAAGGTTGATCTTTATGCACGTAGGGGCATTTCATGGGAGGCATGCTCTGCATTCTTCAGTAGGATTCTTTCAGAGAACGGAGGCTTGGCTGAATCCCCTACCAAGTCAGGCCAACTTGGCACTCTCTATTTAGCTCAATATTGTCTACTGCACCTGACATGGCACCATCCAGATATGCTGGACTGCAACTCCCATCAGCCACAGCCAGACAGCCCATCAACAGGACTTGTATTTCAATCCATCTGTAGGGGATGAAATAAGGAAAAAACTCATTCTGCCAGGCAGTGGCTCTCCATGGTTTTAGACTGAGATTTTTCTGCACCATCTTTTCCTTGATTTATGTATACTAGAGATACCAAGAATTTAGTCTGGGATCTTCTGTATGCAAAGCAGATGCACTACCATCCATCTTTGGCCTCTCTGTAATGATGAGCTATTTTGTGCACATTGCATTGGATTACATTTATTTATTTAAAACATTTGAGACGTTTTGAAATGGCACCATTGGGGTGGTTTAGAATCCCAGAAGTTGGGCTTATAAGCCACTCCAAGTAAGACACAATGGGTCTGTACAACACAGCAAACTCCCCCAGCCAACAAGCCAGGGGATTTGTAATGTTGTATGGAAGTTAATATGTGTGCATATGCTGGCATCTGTGTGTGTGCATTTGAAGGAGAAGCACATTTGCATCTTTTAGCATTTGCATCTTTTAGCATTTTAGCAAAAACTTGCATCTTTTAGCATTTTAGCAAAGTCAGTGGGAATGATAGACAAGGCACCAAGTCTGGAAAAACTGGTATAGAGGTACCCATGCAAAGCTCCTCCGAGTGAGTGGGGTGCTCAGCAGCCAGCCTGCAGGGATGCACAGTGTGTGAGGTATTCGACTGAGCACCCCAAGTACAACCCAACTTCATATGCCCCTCTGGAGAAAAATCGCACAATGAAGGTGCAAGACTGAAAAACGGCCTTCCTAGTTAGGACGGCTAAATTGTGGGAGGCTTCTCTGAGGAAGAACAACATGGTTCCTTGCTTCATCATTTGATGGCTGACAAAAGCAAATGCATTTTGGCAGCTACTTGACTGCACTTTTTTTTTTAAAATTGGTTTAGACCACAACCCTGTGCATGTTTACCCAGGAGAAAAAGTCCTACAACTTCCAGCATTGCCCTGTATAGTTGGGTGGGTGACACAGGCCTTGTTTATGCCTACACACACCTAGCAGTGCCCCCTTAGTTTGTTGTTCCATATTGTGATTGTTATGTTGACCAATTGTTTTTAGGTCAGCCGTATTTGTTCCTGCAAATTCCTTTGCGGGTCCCTGGATTGCTCTTAGAATAGCAATAGCAGCAACAACATTCAGCACAGCCTGTTTACTCGTTCTGGGTTCCATACACCACACTTCCCAGTAATGCGCACTCGGTGCCGAAGAGATGCCCCGCTCGCGCGTTGCTTCCGGCGCCCGGGGACCGGCCCCGCGCCACGTGCGGCTGGCCGCACCTGAAAGCGCCGCTTTGGGGCGTGAGCAGACAGCTTTTCCATCGCCGCTTAAGACAGCCACCCAGCCGGAATGACTGAAGACCTTGCACGGTGGAAGAGGCGCGTCTCCTCGTGCTGCCTCCTCTGCCCCGGCAACGCACCGCAACCCCGCACCGCAGCCCGGTGGCCCGAAGGAAAACCTGGGAAGGAATGACTCGCCCAAAGCTCCCATGGTGTACACGGCGAGCCTTCCTCCAGCCTCCCTCGGGGCGTCCCGTCTCCCGTCAGAGATAAGGGCAACGTTGCCCTCCTCCGAAGCACCAGTGCCCCGGCGGGAGGGAAGGGCCACTTGCCTCCCGAGCGCCGAAGGGGCTCCGCTAGGCCTGCGACGGCAGCGCCTGCCTGCAGGAGGTCGCCCGCGCAAGCCTCCCCGCAGCAGCCCCGCCGCGGGAGGGAGCGAAGCGTACCTTGAAAGACATCTTGCGATCCTCCCGAGCCGCTCATGCCTGCAGCAACCAGCGCAGCCGCATCGTTTCCTGGGCCTGGTCGTGCGGCGGCGGCGGCGGCGGCGGCGGGGGCTCATAGGCTCGCCTTGCGCGGCAGCGTCTGGCTGCAGGAAGCCGCGGCGGCGTGCCCGAGCCGGCGTCTGAGCAGCAGCCGCCGCAGCAGCAGCCTCAGCAGCAGCGGCGGCGGCGCGGCCGCCAGCCAGCCAAGCGGCCGCGCAAGGCCTGCTGGCTCGCCTCCGCCTCCGGGGGCTGCGCCCTCTGCGCTCCGCGCATCCTTGCGGCGCCCTCGCGAACTCCCCCGCGTGCTGATGTCACGCGTGCTGCGGGCAGGCGAGCGAACCGCAGCCGCGGATCCGGTGGCTCGCGGGACTTGGGCTAGGCAGGGCGCGAGGCGGTGCCGGGCGTGCTCGCCAGGGCTCTGCCTTTTGCCGGCTTGGCTACCCAGCTCTTGCTTCTGCCCAGGGCGCATTACCACCAACTAGACGATAAGGAGGACAAGAATTGCAGGGAGCCCGGTTGACCCTTTGGGGTGGTGGTGGGGAATGGAAACGTTTTGTTTTAGTGGCTGTGGTGTGTCTGTCTGTCTGTTTTCTAATGACTTGCATACCCCTCCTGTTTCCCTCAGGGAGGATAACAAATTATTTCCAGAGGGAACCCGGGCTAGTTAGTCCCAGTGAAAACAACCAGGAGCTTTACAGTAAAGACTAAAGATGCAACTATTATCCTTGTGACCCTGCACTGAACTGATTCTAACCTAGCTATGTCTCTCTTATAATGTGGAACCCAGAACTGGACACAGTACTCCAGCTGTGGGCACTTCAGAGTTGTACAGAGCAGTATTAACACCTCTTTCAGTCTGGAAACCACACTTGTGGCTGTACATTCAAGGGCAGTGTTTGCCTTCTTAACCACTGGTTAAGAAGTCGTTACACTGCTGGCTCATGTTGAGTCTGCAGTCAACAAGTACCCTGAGATCCCTTTCACAAGTGCCACTCTCCAGCCACTCCCCCGCCCATCTTGTACCTATTCCTGTGTCCCAAGAGCAAGACCTTGCACTTAGCCTCACTGAATGCCACCCTGTTGTTCCCCCATCCACTTTCACAGTCTGTCCAGATCCTTCTGGATCTGGAGTACCTGCTCCTCACCTGTTAAGCTTTAAAATGCCAACCATTCCTTGGGTTTTTATCAAGTCATAAATGAGATAATTAAGAATACACTGTTGTAATTAAAAAAAAGAGTAAACATTAAAAACAAACACTGCAGCTGAAGAGGTGTATCTGCCTTCAGAGGTTAGGTTGATAACCGGTGATGTAGCCCTTTTTGCAGTGGTGCCCCATCTGTGGAACATCTTCCCCAGAAATGTTACCTTGATACCTAATCTTTAGATGACAGGTCAAGAGCACTGATCAACAGGTGTCGACACAAAAGTAAGTTTCATCAAGTTTAACAGGTTCTTCCCATTTGTTGCAGTTGACAAAAGATAAGCTGTTCTTCCTAGTGCTACCTGAGCGGCACACATTGCTGCAGGAACTTGGCCGGTGCTGGAAGAACTGGCCATTTCTCCCTTTGCTGGTGGAAATGCACGCCCAGATACCCATGGGACTCTGAGCTCCTCAGTGTGGAGGAAGGCAGCATGAGAGGATGATGAGTGGGATGATGATGTGAGTGGGTGTCACCAACAGTTGGACCGGTTGGGAACATATCAAGGCCCCACACCTCAACAAGGGCCTGCTGACAGGAACCTCCTCGCTTTCTTCCTCCTTTTCTCCACTGTGCCTGTCTGCTCTTGTTCCTCTTGCTCTGGCCCAGACAGAGATGGCCGTGAGGAGGAGCTGCCTGCATGCTGACTGGCTTTCTGCCTATCAGACAGGAAAGTGGTAACTACAATGAGGAGCAGCAGCAACAGCTAGTAACAGTGACAATTATTTATTTATTTGAAACATTTCTGTGCCGTACTTTGCATAGCCTCAGGACAGCGCACAGCAATGAGAAGTGGCGCACCACAACTTGGAGTGGGCACTGTCACCCAGCGGCCTGTGCAAGGCCCGCCCCATATCTGTTTTTGCCTCTCTGTTTGTAGGCAAATCATTGATTTATTTTATGCTGGCAGAGCTCTTATTCTTCTTTGAAGTATAGTAAACCAATGCTTTTTGTAATGTACGACAGGCCATGGCTATGATAATTACCCTTGATGGTTCCATTATAACTGTTATGGATATTAATCTTAGATGGGCAGATGATTACACATGCAAAATCCAATAAAGGAATATCTAGTCTTAATCAGATATTGCTAACCTTTAAATAATTAATAGTTATATTATTCTGTTAAGTTACTTTATGAACTATAAAGTTACCTTATCTATGGTTTGTTTCCTGAGACACAGATGTGTAATCTAGATCACATCTGTATTTGTGTAATCTACACAATATTAAGCTTCCTTATCAGGCAAGTACAGGTGAAACCAATTCAAGTTTGGGACAATAACAAATCTCTTACTGTGACAAACTGCTTGACCTTTCTGTTATTCAAATAATGATGTATTGACCCATAATATGCATGGTCATCTAACTGTCAACTTGGAGGATATTTCTGATATAGGGATTTCCTTTTCCAGGTCAAAAGTGGAAATGCTCCTAGCAAGAAAGAAAAGAGATCTGTGTGAAAATGCATGGAGTAAACTGCAGTTGCCCTTTAAGCAACACACAATAGGAAAAGCTGCCAGACTGACTGGCAGTTGGTCTATGCTGATAATGAGATAATGTGCCTCTTTATCTTAGAGATAGAATTGCTGGCTATAGCTTTGAACTAGTACCTTTGGTTCTGTCCAGGGTCCTGACTGTGCCCTTGCTTCTTGTATAGCTTCATCTTATCACTCTGTCTCCTGCCATCTTTCCTGGACTGTTGGTGGCAACATCTTTGATGGATCAGGCCTGATAGAGCTGGACTTGTTTATGGAGGACAAAGATTGAAAGGTAGAACCACCACTGAAGGCAGGTTTATTATTGCATATGGTTATGGCATAACAAGATCAGGTTTTAGAGAGCCTCGGGCAAAATGCCAGGTGTTGACACCTGCTCTAATTAATATGTGACCTACCCTGGTCATCCGAGTCATTTTATACAGAATAGAAACAGTCTGGGCATATTCCTTTAACATTGCAAACTAAGGATAATGCTAAATATCAAAAGGGATGCAACTTAGTAGCTAACAGTGATGTCTATTCACTTTTACTCTAGAGTAAGACCAAGCCGGATCTTTAAAACTTTCCTACCCTATACACCAGGGGTTTCCATATGGATTGGGCACCCATACTAAAGTAAACGTGCATGTACACTAAAGTAAAAATGAAAAAAGGCATGGCTTTAGATATGGACATAAAATTATATCTGTTTTGGACCTATAGTTCAATTTGCCATGTGTCTATTGAGATCCAGCAGCAGTTCTGCAGAAATAATGAATAGGTTCCTGTGTTGCAGGATCACAGCTCAGGCAGTGGCACACACAATGGTCTCGGATCATGTTTGGTTTCCTATTTCTGCTCTGGAACAAGACAGTCTGTTTTGACTAGGAAGGTAGCACTGATTCCATACTATATCAAACATAATCTGATTTTCCAACAGATAAAATACACCTTAAGTACAGTTCCGGTGCCCAGTAAGCCAAAGAATGGCAGGACCAAAACCAGACTAACAAAACATGCACAACTGTTTCCTTGTTGCTAGACAACTTTTGGGCAGACACTTCAAGGAACGCTTTTCTTTGAATAGGTCAAGAGGTTATTTGTTGCCAAATATGCATGATTCAAAACTTGATTTTCTGAGCACTTCTAGTGACAGACAGCTGAATGAAATTGCTGCAGTGTGTTTTGTCTCTCAGAGTGCAATGGCACAACTTTGTATCTTGCTCAGGACCAGTTTGAGCCTCAAAACATACAAACTTCAACAAGCTACACTATTTCTTTGTACCAGAAACAATTTCATCCTGTGTACATCTGCTTAGAAGTAAGCCCCACTGAGTTCATTCTCAGTTTCATTTTTGGGCTTGTACAGTACAAATTTTCCACACATATGAAACATGTAGCTAGATTGAGATTAAAACTACTTCCCCCTCCCAGTTTAGGATTTTTTTTGTTTACAATATTCATAAAAACATAAGAACATAGAAAGCTATGCTGGATCAGACCAGTGGTTCATCTAGTCCAGCACTCCATTCACACAGTGGCAAACCAACTGCCCACAGGTTCCCTCAAGCAGAATTTTTTAAAAACATGAGTATATTGTGTGCAGTTTTATGATGTCATGCTTTCTTTTGCCAACTATTCCATCTCCTCCCTCTCATTCCTCTTTTGTGTACTGTATGATTCATTCTGAAGTTAACTGTTTACCTGTCCTCAGTTCACTCAATAAGAGCAGTGGAATGAATTCCCCCACCCCCCATTTGGGATGTCTTGCATGACTGTTCATGCACATTCTCTTTACATGGGAGTACAATTTGTGCAGTTGACATTTGGCTAATAAGATGTACATTAAAATGCTGCATCCAGAAGGTTAGACATTCTAAGTTACTGGTGGATAGTATGTTGATACAAAAATGTACACTATATCAAATCTATCCTCACTGAATTATTCGTATGTGTTTTGGATGCACTGATGGCAATTTGTTTGGTCAAGGCATGGGTATAGTAACAATATGCATAATCTGATCTGAAATCTTGCAATATAATGTAAGAATGAAAGATCTGAAACCCGTACTTATTGATTCTACTTTTAACTCACCATTGCAGTGTACGGCATTGTGCAAATACTCTGTTATCAAGCTATGAATAGAATCATTTTAAGGCTGTGATCCTATGCACACTTATTCAGGAGCAATTTTCACTGAACATGGTGGACATAAATCTACATAAACAAGAATAAACTCGCATTGTTCATTGGGCTTGCGACATTGCATGCTGCAGGGCAATTTTCTTTGCAAATACCCTCCAGTTGCTGGGGTTGTTTGCAGTGTGAGGAAAAGGCTAAACATGCACCTGTGGGGTGACTCTTGCCTTATCCACTTCCAAGCTTTTGTCCCTCCCACTGCC